TATATATATATATATATATATATATATATTTATATGGAAAAAAGAAAATGTAAAAAAGAGACATTATGGACTGCCAATAAATTTACATCAGGGAGTGCTTAGTAGGTCCCTTGTGAATTTGCGGTATTGTGGTACATGTAGGATTGAGATGTGATGGACAAGTTCTTGTGGTGATTGAGTATATTGTATGGAATGAACTGGTGGTGATTATGATTAACCAAGGCTAGGATAGTTACTGAGTACCATCCTTTCTCCACTCCCCCTTCCTCTTTGTGCCACAAGTTTGTATTAAAAATGCAAAATAAATATACATTCTAAATATCAACAATATTTCTGGGTATTATAACTATTTACACTATTTACATTGTTCAGACTGTTGTCCGCATATTCACTTCTTCGAGTGATATACGTTAGAATTTCGAACCGGACCCTTTATTTAATCCACTGCCGTAATGGATAAAAGCATTGTTTGACGTAATCCACTGACATTTCAATGCCTAGCCACAGTATAATGAACAGAAACTCGGAGAGTTGAGTTACTAAAACTGAAACTGAGATATCCAGAAAAGTTATGACACGTGAAACGAAAAAAATCTAGCGTAGTGGACTAAAGAACGGTTTCTGTTCGAAATTCCAACGTATAACACCTGAAGACGGTCGGAACTTACAACGGCCGACAAGTTGTAAACACCGCTATCCATTTTCTCAATCTCGTTTTTCTTCATCTATGCGCCGTGTCGCTTTAGGACTTAGGCGATCATGGCTTTCCATAATTTCCTGTCCTTTGTAGCTGTTAATAAATTTTGTCCTTTTGTTATTTCTCCTAAACCTTATTGCGTCATCCGTTTATTCCAGTTCACTAAGTTTTGCATTGTTTACTTCTGTCCTTATTACCTTCAATCTGCCTTGTGAGTATAAGATATTCCAATACCTCTTTCCTCTACCATAGAAATTTCAACTGTCTCTACCTGATGTTAAGTCTAAGGGTCCATTTTGTTTAGGCTTATTAAAATTAAATAATATTCATACCAAGTATTCTTCTTAAATTGGGTTTAATGAAACAATATTGTAGATTTACATATACCCATCTCGATCATAGATATACATACAAATATATATGGATGACCTTTTAAAACACTCCTTGGTCAGGCCGTGAACCTTTCTTACATTAGTGCGAACCGCACGGCATCTATCTGCATATTTTGTTTGTATACATTTGGGAGGTGAAATAAAAAAGGTATAAACAAGAATAGGGCGAGATGAAGAATCGAGCCAGAGTGACTAGTGTAACTACTAAAGTACTATGTCCACGAAAAATAATTTATTAGATTCCAAATCTCAAAGTTTTCTTAAGATCCAAAACGAAGTGTATTGGACAAATCAATTAATGAGGATCAACTGAAGAATTCGACCAAGGGTTTACCGAATCAGGCATCTTGAAGAGCCTCTCTATTCTATGCATACCTCGCATCCATGTCCGCTTACTCTTAATCATGGCGCCCTATCTTGGTCGAGATAACATCTTATCCCCCATCGTCTCTCCAGCCTTTGCGTCTTAAGACTTGATTCACTTCATGTCCACTTTACGCACGTTGCTGTTAATCCCATCGCTGGCTGCAATTAAGTCTTACTACGTTTTTCCTCTTTTGCTACTTCCCTTCTCCTCCCTTTTCCTTCCCTTTTCCTCTTCCATTTTCCCCTCCTCCTACTTCTTTTTCTCGTCTTCTAACTTCTTATTCTTCTTGTCATTTTCGAACTTATTTAAATGTGTTTATTTTTTACTGACGCTCCATAGTCGTCTTTTTACCGCTCTTTTAGTCTTTTAGTCTTTTATTATATTTTCGTATTTATCCAGTTGTTTCATTAGATTTATATATTCTCGTTTTTTTTCCTTTTTTTGCCTAATTTTATTTAATATTCCCCTGCCACAATTCCCTGTTATTTCGCTTCTTTTTATAAAGCCAAACTTATTGTATATATTGCTGTTCTACTGCTGTTTTCTCTTTTTCCTTTCGTCCGTGGCTCTTATTTTCTTCCCCCTTTGCAACTAGCTCTAATGTTTTCAGCTCTTCCCTTGCTAGATTGCTCTTCTAAATTATCAATACTTTTTCTCTTAGAGTATTTGCTTTCCCGAAAGTCACATTCTTGTAACTTTTATCTCTCATTGTCCTTGCATTCTCCCATTGCCAACCAAATTGCAAATAGACGCACTACTCTTATTCATTTATCCGCCTCCTTATCTTCCTCAGATTCAACATTCACTGAGCTGAACTAGGCCTGTTCGTTCCATTTAACTTTAACTTACATTAGCCAATATGGCGACCATTGATTTCTATATGCTGGAGGGCCAACTTACATTACTTCAGATAATCATCAAGCACAAATCGACAAACGAAATGTGTTACATCGATCAATGGACTCGCGAGTAAATAAAGACAGATTGAGTCAGAAGAACATGTCTGCTATCTCTCTCATTCTCGGACACACGTGGGTGAAATATATATATATATATATATATATATATATAGTGTGTGTGTGTGTGCGTTTTATGTATGAGGTGACGCCCTGAAGTTTTCGTCCGACAAACAGTGAAGTGGCAGCAGTATCATAAAGTTGCTTGCTGAAGCTGGTACATGGGGCATCGTTGTCATTGATGTTAATTGCTTTCAATACTTCTTTATTATATCCAAATCTTTCCGGAATCTTCAGCTTAGATACCGCAATGCCTCTCAGAACCTTTGTACAAGCATATCTTTGTTTGCTGATGGTCCATAACCATTAAGGATGCGCTTAAGAGGCGACGACCACGCCAAAAGACAGAACCACGCTAACAACGAACAGCATGACAAATCTTTCCTTCGGAGAGTTATATCTAAAACAATGTGCCAGTGATGTGGATATTTACGTGTCACTTTATGTTTAACCATTTGCTTGAACTAAGTATTGGTTATAAGCAACTTTAGCGTCTGGTATAGTGGTAATAAGGAGGCCAATAGAGAGGATTTTCCCATTCCATGATGACTAATGCCATTCCACAGATCAATAACATCTGGCACAACCAAAGAAATCCCCCAACAGTTTGTCATTTGTGTCAACCCCAGCTCAAGTTATCATGGAAGCTATTTACTTCATTTTACCCCAAGTACCCCATACCACCAACCTGAAGGTAAAAGTATATTTTACCTTGTTAGGCCTCTATGATTCACTGTGCTACTAATGTCGTTTATTTTTCAATAGTCATCATACTATTCAAAGGGTCCAGTAGTAATTCTGGTTGAACTTTTGTGGATATATATATATATATATATATATATATATATATATATATATATATATAAATATATGAGATAAACAAGTACTTATTGAAAACACTAGGGGTATCTATCTACCTAAAACACTAGTGCTATATATATATATGTATGTATATATATATAAAAAGAAAAGCAAAAGCCGTTGATGGGACGACTTCCTAAAACCAGAAATTCTTATCAGGATAATGTATCGAACAAAACGACAATACTGAAAGAAAAAAAAGGCCTAAGGCAAGCTTATCTAGTCAGTAAAGTGCTCGAAGCCTATATTGCCGAGACAAAGTAAAAAAGAATAACAACGTCAAATCTTATGAGAAAACTGTCCTGGTTGTAAACCGAGTTTCACTCTCACGCTATCTTGAACGCTCAAGACTTCCGATGATCACGTGAGCGTGAAACTGGGCTTACACTTGGGACCAATCTTTCAAAGGATTTTATATGGTGAAACGTTGATTGTCTGAAGATCAGGTGAACGGGAAACTCAGATTTCTGAGATAGGCTGATAGATAATGAGACAGTTCGATAGATATGAACAAACTGAGAAAACCAGGTAAATATGAATATAATAAGAGGGATATGAATATACTGAGATGGAGGGATATGAACATACTGAGATGGATATATAGATAGATATGAAATAGCTGAATAGATGGACAGCTAGATAAATAGTCTGAGATATATGGATATATATATATATATATATATATATATATATATATATATATATATATATATATATATATATATATATATATATATAAATACTTTAAATAAGGAAAATTACACTAATATTGACGTTGTGCATTTTCAGGCCCCAAGTTATATATTATAACTTCTGCACTTCATTTGCGCTTCAATATTAAGTGCTATTCAAGAGTTGCTGACGTCTTCATACAAAACTGGTGTTCTCTTATTTTCCCCTAGAAGGTATATATGTAAGCGCTTATCTGACAAACATGTTTTACTTAGCGTGTATTTCCGCCAACCAATTCTATTTTATTTGACTGTCTGTACACTTATGCTGAAATTACACTCATGCATATGCATATCATTAATGAGTATACTTAATTTCATTTAAAATAAAAAAAATCTGTGCCTTATTAATTTGAAGTAAATGGCCTCATAACGCGTTAAAACATTTACAAAGTGAGGACAACACTTCGCTAGATATTCACAGCAGTAACGTATTATAAATTGGCGTTCGTGATGGTTATAGCTAGTCGCTTTTTTCAAATATCACTATCAGCTCAGGTGGCTAGCTTATACCTGGTGCAGTTACTTAAGCAATTTTGAGTTTTTACAAGATATATATTTATAGTTGCAAATAGAGTTACAGTCTCTTGCAGAGAAATATTATGCATAGTTTATGTTGGCATGATCACCATTTTAAACAAGGCCAGTACTGTCAAACCTCACTCACTATCAGGTGGGCGTTTTGGTGATATTATTGTATTCCCAATTTGGTCTGCAGATAACGGTGCTGTACTTGTTTAGACGATATGAACGAGAGAGCATGACAAATCGATCATGGTGAAAATCAATCCAGTTTTATATGGTGAGGAAGGCTAATTTTTTACCCACTCTACCATACACATGCATTAAATGAATAATTACTGCTGGGATTGTTATAAACATTGAAAGGTAGATAAAGATACAATTAATGCTTGAGCGTTTTATTATACAAACAAGCTAATCATAAAGGTGACAGATGCATATGAACAGACTGAGATAGATAGAAAGATAGATAGATATGAACAGACTGAGATAGATAGAAAGATAGATAGATATGAACAGACTGAGATAGATAGAAAGATAGATATGAACAGACTGAGATCGATAGATAGATATGAACATATTGAGATAGATATGAACATACATAGATATGAAGATATATATTAGCATACTGAGATATATAGATATTAACATACCGAGATAGATATTAACGTACAGAGGTAGATACGTAGATATGAACATAATGAAATACAGAGATAGATAGGTAGCTAGATACATATGTATTGATAGAAAGATATAAATACACTGGTGTAGACAGACAGATGGATAGATAGATAAATATAAACATGAGGAGACAGATATGAACATTGGAATAGATAGGCAGATTGATATGAACATACTGAGACAGAAAAATGCATATATTTATGGACATAAAGATATAGATAGACACAAATACAGATGTTAGTATACTGTGACATATATACATATATATACATATATATATATATATATAGAGAGAGAGAGAGAGAGATAGATGTACATAGATATATACATACTTTGATAGATATGAACATACTGACACAGATCGATGTATTGACTTAGACATATATATATATATATATATATATATATATACTGAGATAGATAAGAATATACACATATAGATGAAGATATATTGAGAGATAGGGAAAATTAGATACGTACATACTTTGATATGTATATATTAAGGTTGATAAATAGATAATAAATTACGGAGATAGATATGAACATATGTATGAACTTACTGAGGTAGACAGTTATATAAGAACATACTAAAATAGATAGATGGATATGAACATATTGATATCGATAAATATGAAGATGCGAAGATATATGCCTAGGTAGAGGTAACATTACTGCGATAGACTGATATATACTTAGAGATTGAGATAGATAGATAGATAGATAGATAGGGAAAGAGAGAGAGACTCAGAAACATAAAGATATTAGATGGATATAATGATAGAAATTGACGAGGTTGTGATATATGGATATATATAGAGATATGAAAGATTTTGAGATAGATACGAAGACGCTATCACAGATGTTGGACAATATCAACATACTGAGGTAGATATATTGATGGATAGGTAGATGCCAACGTACTGAGATAGATATAAACATAGATATGAACATAAGATAGATAGATAGATAGATATGAACATAAGATAGATAGATAGATAGATAGATATGAACATAAGATAGATAGATAGATAGATATGAACATACTGAGACAGACTGACTGACACATATGAAATTACTGTGATATATAATGGTAAAGATAGATTGATATATATTCTATGGACTCATTCATATAGAAATATTGATAGATAGTAAAATGCAAAGATAGGTGCATAGGTAGACATGGAGGGCTGAGATAGAGAATGAAATAGATAAATATAAACATAGATAGATACAGTAGAGGAAAATATGTATTTCATCCCTTGCTGATTTTCTGAGTTTGCCACCTTACAAAAATAAGAACGGTCTATGATTTTCAGGGTAGGTCAGTCTCGAAAGTGAGAGATAGAATATAAAAAGAAATCTAGAAAATCACATTAAATTAATTTTTAAACATTTATTTCATTTTATTGAAAAATAAGTATTTCACCTCATAGTAAAACATAACACTGTATTTGGTGAATAAACACTTGTTGGCAAGAACAGCAAACAGATCTTTTCTGTAGTTGGTTACCAAGTTTTTACAGATTCCGTGTGGATGGGGATGGTTTGGTCCACACCTCTTTGCAGATTCTCTCCAAATCTTTAAGTTTTGTAGGTTGTCATTGGGCAACTCGAAGCTTCAGATCCCACCACAGATTCTGTAAAGGATTAATGTCCGAAGACTGACTAGGCGACTCCATTACCGTATTGAGCCACTCCTTTGTTGCGTTCGCTATATGCTTTGGATCATTGTCATGCTGGAACACCCATCTACGACTCATCTTCAGTTTCTTGGCTGAGGCAAGGAGGTTTTCACCAAGAAAAGGTGCTCAAGGTGCTCATTTGCAAACTTCTGACGGGCCTGTACATGTGCCTTCTTGAGTAGGGGGACCTTGCGGGCACTACATAATTTCAGTCCACTACGACGTAGTGTGTTACTAATGGTCATCTTGGGGATTGTGGTCCCAGCTGACTTGAGATCATCCACAAGATCTTGCCCCGTAGTTTTATGTTCTTTCCTCGAGTTTCTCATCGTCAGGTTCACTCCACTTTAAGAAATCTTGCGTGGAGCGCCAAACCGACGGAGATTGATAGTCAATTGATGTTTCTTTCATTTTCTTCTTATCTCACCAACAATTGACTTCATCTCACCTAGCTGCTTGCCAATCGTCTTGTAGCCCATTCCAGTCTTGTGCAGTTACACAATTTTGTCCCGGTTGTCTTTAGACAATTCTTTCTACTTGCCCATTGTGGAAAGATTAGATTCTGATGTATTGAAGGATTCTGTAAACTAGTGTCTTTTATAAAGCTAATGATTATTTGAGTAGGAGCAATAATTGAGTAATAATACCTCCTGGTCACATAACCGATCTGTGGGACCTGAATCATTGCTGGTTGTTAAGGGGTGAACTATTTTTTTTTTCAATAAAAAAAGAAAGAAATGTTCCAAAATTGATATAATGCGATTTTCTAGAATTTTTTGATATTCTGTCTCTCATATTCAAGACAGAGCTACCCTTAAAATTATAGAACGTTCCTATTATTTATGGTGGCAAACACAGAAAATCAGCAGGGGGTGAAATACTTTTTTCCTTACTTAGATAGATAGATAGATAGATAGATAGATACTTTGATAGATAGATATTTATGAATATAATGAGACAAATAGAGGGATAAAAAAGAGGCTGGGATAGACAGATGGATATATAGTTAGATCGACTGATAGGAAGAAGCTGAGATGGATAGATGAGAGCTGAAGACGCTGAGAAATATGGATAGATATATAGATTTGAAGACTTTGATGTAGATAATATATAGCTTTTTGCTTTACTTCAAGGTTTCGTTAAAATAACTGCATCAATTAAGCTAAGCATTATAATAATATTCTTATGATTATGACTTAAACTTCTGATAATGTTTTAGTAACATGTGTCTTTAATACATGAAAGCATTTTAAATAAAGTAGTTAAAAAAGATTTTCTGAAAATGATTTAACTGGCTGAAATATTCTCAAGAGAAATGATTGTCAGAATAAACACTTACAATTTCTTCCCAGGTTCCTGATTTCCATCTCTCATTTTAGATTCACATGTTCGTAGATCTGGTGCTATCAAAATAAATCTGAATATTGTATTGTAACATATATGTCGCATTTTAAATTATATAGTCTTCACATTCCAGTTACCATTGTTCAATATAAACGTTTGTACATTTCAAAAATGAGAATAGGCCCTCAGTTGAACCTCAAAGGCTGGTCCCATAGAATTCGTTTCAGTTGCGATACAATGCAGTTGAATCCTAGAAAAAAAATATCAGTTTGACATTTCGAACTGGAAGTGAGAACAGCGAGAGAATGAATAATACAGCGTTGGGCATAGATCGAAGGCAGAGATAAGAATATTTACACCTAACACCGAAGTGACTCTTTAATAGACTTAAGAGTCTCTATGTCTGTCTTCCCTGGTTTGATTATGATAATAATGGTGTAAAATTGATTATGCGCGATATGTAAAAGACAAGACACCGTACGTGTTTGACTTGGGATCATTTCTTGTTTATCTGCTGCAATAGGTAGCCATTCTTCATTTGTAAATACACACACACACACACACACACACACATATATATATATATATATATATATATATATATATATATATATGTATTTAAATAAAAGAAAGAACAGTAAGATATATAATCCGGTGTTCTTTTAGATATTTTTATTTTTACAAAATAGTGGTCAATGTAAATTTACAGAGCATTAATATTATAAATTACTTGATTTAAAATATGGTTTTTTCCGCTACACAGCTCTAACCATGTTTCAAAATTAGTTCCTAATCCCAGGAATTTTGGGGGGATTAAATTAAAACTAATTAGTTTAATTTAATCCAGAATTAAATTTGGGGATTTGGAACTTCCATTTTTGAAACATGGTTAGAACTGTGTAGCGGAAAAACATATTTTAAATCAATTAATTTATAATATATACAATAAATTGTTTTTATGTCCGACCATTATTTAATATATTTTCTGTTTATACGTTATTTTAATAGATACAATTTATTTAGGTAAATGCGGCTTTTTAATTAAAAAGTATTTAATTACAATTACCGGAATGTGCGAGAAATTTAGTAGAAATTATGCATTCACAGTGTACAATTTATAAACACCTTGGAAAGATATTCGCATATTATCCTCATAGATGCTACATATTTACAACACAAATTACGTTTATTGCAAAAGATACCAAAGCACAATATATTTTGTGTAAACTTTGGAATGTTTGAGTAATCCTTGACAGTCTGTAGATTCAATGTGTAATTTCAGAGTTTGTTTAATTTTTTCCGACTAAGTGTATCATCAGATATATTTTAAATTTATTTTTTGTTCTCCACCAGCCAGACCTTTTTTTAAATTATAATTATCAACATAACATGGGTCTGAAACAATATAAATGTATTGACGTTGCCGGTATACTTTTTCCATTGCCCAATCCCTCACGTAAGTGATGGAATTCCCTACTCATTTCCCTAGCCAAACCAAGGAAGAATCTTCTCTAACGGATCTATTTCTTACCCACTATCCTCGCTCTTGCTAGCTTCACAATACTACCATCTTGATAACTCGGACCACTTTGTGGTCGCTATTATTATCTCTTTCCCTTAAAAAGGAACACCCCTATCTATAAGATCTCTTTCAGTTACCAGCCTGTTTATTAGGACTCATTCAGGTATTTTCTTCGTGATACTCTTTGGGATGATATCTTCAACCTCCCAATTAAAAACTGAATTCTTTCTTGGGTTAAAGCCAGCATGGACTCTTTCATCCCTTCTTGAAAATACCAGCTGAAACCGCAATCCTCTCCATGGCTTACACCAGCATGCTCTACCAACATATACACAGGAACCAATATTTCCAGTTATACCAGGGTGACAGCTCTCATCATAACAGGTGCAGATTTGCTACTGCTTTAACACATGTAAGCAAGTCCTCGAAGCAGCTAAATCCATGTTCGCAGAGAAAATGTGGCAGCGCATAGAATCTAAAAACTTTGGCTCCGGAGATTACTGGCGTTTCTGTAATAGGGTACTTAATTAATACAAGGTCTCAATTCCCCACCTCTTCAATCAATTTGAGGTGTTATCATCATCTGCATTTCATCTTTATGGCTTAATTCTTTGCTCGTACATTCTCCTCAAAGTCTACTCTTGACTCATCCGGAGAATCACTGCCTGACTTCCCAATTAGAACTAACCCTCTGTTTAATGATATGCATATAACCTCTTCCATAGTCTCAGTTATCATTTCTAAATTCTATTAACGATAATTGAGAAAAGAGTCTGTCGTGCTCTAGATAAAAATGATGAAGAATGGGATGTAGGACTGGGCATCTCGAAAGCCTTTGACAGGGTCTGGTATTCAGGTCTTCTCCACAAGCTGAAAATTATGGGCACATATTTTAGCTGATCCAGTCATTCGTTTCATACTAACGTGACTATCCCCCCAGGGATTCATACTTGGTCCTACTCTGATTTTAATCGACATTAACGACATCCCCGCTGACATCAGCTCTGAACCTGTCATCTAAGCAGTCGACACTACCATCTACTCCTTCCAGGATAGTAAGGCTGATCAATTTAACAAGGTCAGAATGGCAGCTGGTTTACAAAACGACCTCAAGACTGCCGTTAAATGGGACAAAAGATAGATTGTCAATTTTAAGGCCTCCAAAACTAAAATTCTTTTTATTAATCATTTGAAGGAACACTCTCTGCTTTCCTTCAGCATGGCTTATTCTATCCTCCAAGAAAGTGACTCGTTGTGACTTATCGTGCTAACGTTCGCAACTAACATGAAATTAAAATTCTGTACTGAATCCATTACTAGGTCACCTACAAAGAAAGTCAGTTCACTGTGTCAGGTCAGACAATTTTTCTCTCCTGAATCTATCTTGCATATCTATATGTCTACTATTTGTTCATGTTTAGAATTATGCTGACATATATGGACTGCTGCCCATGCTATTTACATGGGGCTCCTTAATATGATCCAAAGATAAAAAATTTAGACATTATTAATATATAAACAAGAAAAACCAAAATATTAAAAATAATAGGACAAAGGAGAAGTTAAAATAGAGTGATAAGTAATAGCCCATGAGAAAATTTTACAATATAAGGGGAAAATTCTAAATAAATTAATAAAAGGTTAAACACAGATTAAGCTTAAGATTAAATTAAAAGATTAAATAGATTAATTATAGATTAAAATATAAGGTGTTAGATAGAATCATGTTAAAAATAATTATAGGTTAAATTATAATAGATAAAAAGATTAAAATTAAATTTAGATTAACTTATAAATTAAAACAGATGAAAGGATAAAGAGTCCTTTACAAAGGGAAACTTCAATAACAAATTACTAATGTCAATCCAAAGAAAATCAAAACAAACAGCTATTTTTTCTTGTTTATATAGTAATAATCTATATTTTTTTATTATAATATTAATTTTTTTGTTTAATATTAAAATTAAATAATAGCTCTTATATTAAATTCTAATTTTTATTTTATCTAAAATCTTTAAAACTTTTCCATTAATGAGTGTAATGTCCATTTTCCCTATTTGACCAAGAGTTAACATTTTAAATATAGGTCATTTTTAATCTTCCACCGTATTTAACTTCTGCCTAGACTTGTATATGTTCTGTCTTCTTGTACCCCTCTCACTACTTTGGTGTTTATATTTCTTTTTTTTTTTCTATTTCCCTCTTAAATGGCTTTACAGTTATTTGCGGTGTGTTTCTTCGTTTACCTCGCTTTTTTCTTCTTACTTTTTATACTTTTGTTCTTTAATTTAAAAAAAAAAAAACCCAAAAAACGTTACAATTTATTTTTATCAAACGTTTCAGTATTGACAATCTCCATGGAATTTATTCGGAGGAGCGAAATGGGCATAAAAACAGGGTACAACTGAGTTTCATGTTTATGTAATTCATTATTACAATAAGTATATATTTATATAATTATATATATAACAATATATATATATATATATATATATATATATATATATATATATACTGTTTCGACAGTGAAAGGGTGAGAGTGAGATGTCAGCCTAGTAGAACGCTTAAATTCAGGAAGGCTGGGATCCAGGGAAAGCTGCTCATCGGAGCAGTTACAATGAAAGTAACTGTAAAATAGACAGAGGGAGGCGACGGCACGACTGGGACAGCGCGACTGCAGACGAGATTTCAGATCAGGACCAATTACATTGCATTTCCTTCTCTTGATTTTATCAAGAACCCTGAGACAAACTCCAGGAAAAAGAGAAAGGTTGATTTGTATATTTGAAAGATCGAATCAGGCGAGAAAAATTTCCTGGCGCGGCACAGGGAACCAACTTTCCTTGCGGTGGACGAAGCTATTGACTCAATGTATTTGTTCCATATCAGGCCAGTCGTCAGAGTCAGTGTGAGACGGAGTAGTCGCAAAGAGGTGCTCTCGAGAAGTTCAGCGTCAGACATTCTAATGTAAAGTCTATATATTTTTCTTTGAATGACATTTTGTAGTTATAATATCATTCTTTAAACATTTTTTCTGTGGCTCTATGGAAATTTTTCGTCTGTGTTAATGTTATATTTTGCGATGGATTTGTATATTTGTTATTGGTTAATCATTTATTGTTAAGTGGGTTTATTTGTTTTTGCGGTTACATTTAATGGTGTAATTTTGTTGTTTGTGTTGTGTACGATACACCTAATTTACATAAGTGGAGTACCGACCATATAAATATGGGTTGGTACCGGAAGACGAAAAAAGAGATAGTAAGAAGACATCGAATCCAGAGACTCTGCCCGACTGCGATTTAGTCAACCCATTATGCAGGAACAGTCTTCCCAAGAATATACCAAAACTAACTGTAAATATTGTGTACCCTTTCCTTGTTTCAATACATTTTGTTAACGTACATTTTGTGTTGTATTATCCAAGTTTCAACAGTATGTTATTGTTATTTTTGTTGTAATTGTGATTTTTTTTTGTCGAGTATTTTTATTGTGTTTAGTTATTATTTTCTCCTTGTTATCCATGCAGCTGTAACTAATTTTGATTGTATTTTTGTTGATAAAATTTCTTGATAATTTGCACATTTTAGTGATGTGTTAGTCAATTATTTTGAAGAATATTTCCCCGTTGTTGTTTTTATTGTATTTTTATACAGAGTTTGAACCAAATTACATTGACTTTTCCGTTTTTTTTCTATTCGAATTATTTTCGTTTTGTATTCTAGTTTATTTGAATATCCGATGTTCCTTAGGTCTGATTCATATGTTTTTTTTTTTTCATTGAATACTTTTAGGCTACTAGAATTCGTTGAAGTTCTTTTATTTATAAATATGTGTATTTTAAAAAAATACACTAGGGTTAGTGATTAGAAATTTTGTTAATGTATATTTGGTTGTTGTTTGGTTTCTTTCTGAAATTTAGGTTCCATTGTTTAGTTTAAATGTTATATCTAAGAAATTTACTTTTTATTGATTTGATTTTATATCTATTGTAAATCCTAGGCTTTTGAATATAGCATCCGTTCCTGTTTTATTTTTCTGTAGTTCTACCTTCGCAGTTTCTTAGGATTAATAAACTGTAGTCATGTATACATATATATATAATTTTGGTTAATAATATTGGTTAATATATTGATTGTGAATATGCTTATTATTTCGTATGCTTTTGCGCCATCATAGCTCTATATTGTTAAGTCAGAATTATTATTATTATTATTATTATTATTATTGTTGTTGTTGTTATTTTGACACTTATTCGTCCATATCTTAGTTATTGTGCTTAATTTATATTTATATCCTCATTGAAGAAACTGATTTATTGTTTTTCTAAGTTTAATGCGTTGTTTAGTATATGTTCATTAATAGATTGGTAAGTAAGAATGATTTATGTAAAATTATATGAATGAGCAGTTTTCTTTAGTAATTTTATTGAATCAATTGATAATAATATATCTATAATTATTTATATAATTATATATAATTTAATTATATATATATAGTTATTTATATAATTACATATACTAATATATATATATATATTTATATATATAATTATTTATATAGTTATATGTAATTATATAAATAATTATAATAATAAATATATATAATTATTTATATAATTATATATAATTATAATTATATATATAATTATAATTACGGCTATATATAAAATTATAAATGTAACTATATATATATATATATATATATATATATATATGATCTGAGGGGACTTTCATAAAGAGATTTTACAATCATGCTTCTTCTTTTAAGTTGAAGAGCCATAGAAGTGACACCAAGCTTGCTGATTGTGTCTAGAAATACAGGGAGAGGCATAGCAGAAAACATTGTGCAAAGTGAATCATGGTAAGGAGGGTAAGAACTGACAGAATTCGTTTTAATTGTTGGCGGTTGTACTAGGAATAGAAATTGGCCATTGCCACATGTCCTGACAAAGGTGTCTTACTAAATGAGAGAACTGAGATTATATCAAAGCTCTTCCAACAGTGCTCGACCGAATTATTTTTTTCGGACGCTAATATCGCCATCCACAGACTTTTTCGCTGTATCACAGCTCATCATTGTGACTAGACATCCGATCGATTCATGCCGGGACTGAAAAATCAGTCGGAGACTCTAACCCCTAGGCTATGGCAGAGAGATAGGTGAATTTTTGCGTATTTAATTTTCATAAAATCTCCAGTGACGCAGAGAACACAAGGCGAGAGAATCGTGCAGTACCAGCAGTAATAGTCACTGTTTACCAATTCGGTTTTCTTCCTACAGTGCTCAACCGAATTTGTTATTTTTCGGGGGCTAATATCGCCATCCACAGACTGTTTGGCTGTATCACATCTCATTGGTGTGGGTAGACATCCGATCGATTCAAACCGGAACTGAAACCAAACCGATTTTTAATCAGTCGGAGATTCTAACCCACTAGGCCATCGGCGCCCGGCAGAGATAAAGGTGAATATTTGCGTATTTATTTTTTCATAAACACGCCAGTTACATATATATATATATATATATATATATATATATATATATATATATATATATATAACTCAAACATTATATAATTTATATTTTCAGTCCTTCAATGGTGGGACGATGTTTAACATTTACAAAATTACGTGTAGTTATTTCGTATATATTTATTTACATCTGTATAATTGAATATATCCCACGTATACAGATATATTTATGCTATGAAATGTGTAAGTTCGTTAATATTTGTATGCATCTACCGATGTAGCTAACTCTATTTATTTGTTAATTTTTAGAATTCTAATCGAAATTACCGACGATATCTGTGCACATTAGAATTTAGCTGAGAGAAAACAGGAAATACTTTAAGCTTTGCGCGTGCATGTCGACATATGTCGTATAATTGCCCTGGAAAATCATATTCTTAGAAACATTCTACGACTTTCAAGTGACCATACGAAAAGAATACGGACTGATAGTTTATAGCCATATAAAAGCAAAAGCACAGAAAAAATATCATTGATTAGACGAAAAAAATTGAGTTAGCTTAAAGCAAAATAGTTCGTGTGGATTTTCTGAAGAGCTGTTTTTATCAGACATATTATTAAAAGAAAAAAAACATTCGAGATTTTAGTGACATGGATCTAGGAAATTACATTCCTCTTATTTATGACATTTAAATTCATTCGATCAGTGATGTGATTTTTCTCTTTATCTTAACATTTATTTTCCTACAGCTTTCCAGGCATTTTGATTTTAATTTTGTCTTTACTGTGTAGTCTGTAATATACGCCGAGGCGATTGACTAGTTTGTCGTAATGATCATTCTTAGAAACAAGCCGTAAAAATAATTTAACTCTAGGAAAAGCATTTGCCTCGTTTTATCTTAAAGAGGTCAACGCTTATCTGATATCAATGTTAATATTTAAATAAAACTAAATACGCTCAATGTATATGCATCGTTAAATGCTGATGATAAATTAGCTGTTCTTATAGAGGAAGCATCTGGCATTTTCTGACTGAAGACTTAACGTTAATCTCGCTTGAAATGTTGTGGGATTCTATAATGTTCGGTTAAAAATAATTCACCACTTTGTGGGATGTTACCCTATTGATACGAATGTGTGTGAATTAATGTTCCTGGTACATTTGGCTCGCAAACAATATTAGCGGACTCATGTGATTCCGAGTAAAAAATAAGTAAACAAAACAAGGAATTTAATGCAAACGGCAATTGTATGCATGCATTAACAAAAATAATTGTATGTGTCCACAACTGAAATGAAAGGAAAAGTCATTGAAACTAACTATATGAATGTCTTTCTTGTGTGAGGATATATGCCCGTGTATAAGATTTCAGTTAACAGAGGATCACAAAAATGAACGTGTCCCAGCAGGAGATAATTTTACCCATGTTCGACTATATTTGAAAGCAAGTGCAGAAAACCGAGAGAATATGCTTGCCTTTTTTATACTTAAAGAGTAAATTCTAACGAGTGTTTTTGACAAAACTAACTTGGGCAACTCACAGAAACTTTAATTTTTCTCACTCTCTTTTTTAGCAGGAAAATAGGTTTTCACACGATCAGTAAATATTATAGCTCTTTCTAGTATTAATGGAAATTTCCTTCCTAACCTTTTGCTTGAAGTAGTGTGGAAAGTAACAACCTTGATTGTCATTATTTTCTCTTAGGCCTACATGTGCTAACTATTATAGCTTTTGCTGCTTTATTCCCGACACATGGTCTTTGTTATTTGGTAAATTTCTTTATTTGTGATTCAGCCTTTAAG